GCATCAGGGTTGAGTGAAGGGCATCAGGGTTGAGTGAAGGGCATCAGGGTTGAGTGAAGGGCATCAGGGTTGAGTGAAGGGCATCAGGGTTGAGTGAAGGGCATCAGGGTTGAGTGAAGGGCATCAGGGTTGAGTGAAGGGCATCAGGGTTGAGTGAAGGGCATCAGGGTTGAGTGAAGGGCATCAGGGTTGAGTGAAGGGCATCAGGGTTGAGTGAAGGGCATCAGGGTTGAGTGAAGGGCATCAGGGTTGAGTGAAGGGCATCAGGGTTGAGTGAAGGGCATCAGGGTTGAGTGAAGGGCATCAGGGTTGAGTGAAGGGCATCAGGGTTGAGTGAAGGGCATCAGGGTTGAGTGAAGGGCATCAGGGTTGAGTGAAGGGCATCAGGGTTGAGTGAAGGGCATCAGGGTTGAGTGAAGGGCATCAGGGTTGAGTGAAGGGCATCAGGGTTGAGTGAAGGGCATCAGGGTTGAGTGAAGGGCATCAGGGTTGAGTGAAGGGCATCAGGGTTGAGTGAAGGGCATCAGGGTTGAGTGAAGGGCATCAGGGTTGAGTGAAGGGCATCAGGGTTGAGTGAAGGGCATCAGGGTTGAGTGAAGGGCATCAGGGTTGAGTGAAGGGCATCAGGGTTGAGTGAAGGGCATCAGGGTTGAGTGAAGGGCATCAGGGTTGAGTGAAGGGCATCAGGGTTGAGTGAAGGGCATCAGGGTTGAGTGAAGGGCATCAGGGTTGAGTGAAGGGCATCAGGGTTGAGTGAAGGGCATCAGGGTTGAGTGAAGGGCATCAGGGTTGAGTGAAGGGCATCAGGGTTGAGTGAAGGGCATCAGGGTTGAGTGAAGGGCATCAGGGTTGAGTGAAGGGCATCAGGGTTGAGTGAAGGGCATCAGGGTTGAGTGAAGGGCATCAGGGTTGAGTGAAGGGCATCAGGGTTGAGTGAAGGGCATCAGGGTTGAGTGAAGGGCATCAGGGTTGAGTGAAGGGCATCAGGGTTGAGTGAAGGGCATCAGGGTTGAGTGAAGGGCATCAGGGTTGAGTGAAGGGCATCAGGGTTGAGTGAAGGGCATCAGGGTTGAGTGAAGGGCATCAGGGTTGAGTGAAGGGCATCAGGGTTGAGTGAAGGGCATCAGGGTTGAGTGAAGGGCATCAGGGTTGAGTGAAGGGCATCAGGGTTGAGTGAAGGGCATCAGGGTTGAGTGAAGGGCATCAGGGTTGAGTGAAGGGCATCAGGGTTGAGTGAAGGGCATCAGGGTTGAGTGAAGGGCATCAGGGTTGAGTGAAGGGCATCAGGGTTGAGTGAAGGGCATCAGGGTTGAGTGAAGGGCATCAGGGTTGAGTGAAGGGCATCAGGGTTGAGTGAAGGGCATCAGGGTTGAGTGAAGGGCATCAGGGTTGAGTGAAGGGCATCAGGGTTGAGTGAAGGGCATCAGGGTTGAGTGAAGGGCATCAGGGTTGAGTGAAGGGCATCAGGGTTGAGTGAAGGGCATCAGGGTTGAGTGAAGGGCATCAGGGTTGAGTGAAGGGCATCAGGGTTGAGTGAAGGGCATCAGGGTTGAGTGAAGGGCATCAGGGTTGAGTGAAGGGCATCAGGGTTGAGTGAAGGGCATCAGGGTTGAGTGAAGGGCATCAGGGTTGAGTGAAGGGCATCAGGGTTGAGTGAAGGGCATCAGGGTTGAGTGAAGGGCATCAGGGTTGAGTGAAGGGCATCAGGGTTGAGTGAAGGGCATCAGGGTTGAGTGAAGGGCATCAGGGTTGAGTGAAGGGCATCAGGGTTGAGTGAAGGGCATCAGGGTTGAGTGAAGGGCATCAGGGTTGAGTGAAGGGCATCAGGGTTGAGTGAAGGGCATCAGGGTTGAGTGAAGGGCATCAGGGTTGAGTGAAGGGCATCAGGGTTGAGTGAAGGGCATCAGGGTTGAGTGAAGGGCATCAGGGTTGAGTGAAGGGCATCAGGGTTGAGTGAAGGGCATCAGGGTTGAGTGAAGGGCATCAGGGTTGAGTGAAGGGCATCAGGGTTGAGTGAAGGGCATCAGGGTTGAGTGAAGGGCATCAGGGTTGAGTGAAGGGCATCAGGGTTGAGTGAAGGGCATCAGGGTTGAGTGAAGGGCATCAGGGTTGAGTGAAGGGCATCAGGGTTGAGTGAAGGGCATCAGGGTTGAGTGAAGGGCATCAGGGTTGAGTGAAGGGCATCAGGGTTGAGTGAAGGGCATCAGGGTTGAGTGAAGGGCATCAGGGTTGAGTGAAGGGCATCAGGGTTGAGTGAAGGGCATCAGGGTTGAGTGAAGGGCATCAGGGTTGAGTGAAGGGCATCAGGGTTGAGTGAAGGGCATCAGGGTTGAGTGAAGGGCATCAGGGTTGAGTGAAGGGCATCAGGGTTGAGTGAAGGGCATCAGGGTTGAGTGAAGGGCATCAGGGTTGAGTGAAGGGCATCAGGGTTGAGTGAAGGGCATCAGGGTTGAGTGAAGGGCATCAGGGTTGAGTGAAGGGCATCAGGGTTGAGTGAAGGGCATCAGGGTTGAGTGAAGGGCATCAGGGTTGAGTGAAGGGCATCAGGGTTGAGTGAAGGGCATCAGGGTTGAGTGAAGGGCATCAGGGTTGAGTGAAGGGCATCAGGGTTGAGTGAAGGGCATCAGGGTTGAGTGAAGGGCATCAGGGTTGAGTGAAGGGCATCAGGGTTGAGTGAAGGGCATCAGGGTTGAGTGAAGGGCATCAGGGTTGAGTGAAGGGCATCAGGGTTGAGTGAAGGGCATCAGGGTTGAGTGAAGGGCATCAGGGTTGAGTGAAGGGCATCAGGGTTGAGTGAAGGGCATCAGGGTTGAGTGAAGGGCATCAGGGTTGAGTGAAGGGCATCAGGGTTGAGTGAAGGGCATCAGGGTTGAGTGAAGGGCATCAGGGTTGAGTGAAGGGCATCAGGGTTGAGTGAAGGGCATCAGGGTTGAGTGAAGGGCATCAGGGTTGAGTGAAGGGCATCAGGGTTGAGTGAAGGGCATCAGGGTTGAGTGAAGGGCATCAGGGTTGAGTGAAGGGCATCAGGGTTGAGTGAAGGGCATCAGGGTTGAGTGAAGGGCATCAGGGTTGAGTGAAGGGCATCAGGGTTGAGTGAAGGGCATCAGGGTTGAGTGAAGGGCATCAGGGTTGAGTGAAGGGCATCAGGGTTGAGTGAAGGGCATCAGGGTTGAGTGAAGGGCATCAGGGTTGAGTGAAGGGCATCAGGGTTGAGTGAAGGGCATCAGGGTTGAGTGAAGGGCATCAGGGTTGAGTGAAGGGCATCAGGGTTGAGTGAAGGGCATCAGGGTTGAGTGAAGGGCATCAGGGTTGAGTGAAGGGCATCAGGGTTGAGTGAAGGGCATCAGGGTTGAGTGAAGGGCATCAGGGTTGAGTGAAGGGCATCAGGGTTGAGTGAAGGGCATCAGGGTTGAGTGAAGGGCATCAGGGTTGAGTGAAGGGCATCAGGGTTGAGTGAAGGGCATCAGGGTTGAGTGAAGGGCATCAGGGTTGAGTGAAGGGCATCAGGGTTGAGTGAAGGGCATCAGGGTTGAGTGAAGGGCATCAGGGTTGAGTGAAGGGCATCAGGGTTGAGTGAAGGGCATCAGGGTTGAGTGAAGGGCATCAGGGTTGAGTGAAGGGCATCAGGGTTGAGTGAAGGGCATCAGGGTTGAGTGAAGGGCATCAGGGTTGAGTGAAGGGCATCAGGGTTGAGTGAAGGGCATCAGGGTTGAGTGAAGGGCATCAGGGTTGAGTGAAGGGCATCAGGGTTGAGTGAAGGGCATCAGGGTTGAGTGAAGGGCATCAGGGTTGAGTGAAGGGCATCAGGGTTGAGTGAAGGGCATCAGGGTTGAGTGAAGGGCATCAGGGTTGAGTGAAGGGCATCAGGGTTGAGTGAAGGGCATCAGGGTTGAGTGAAGGGCATCAGGGTTGAGTGAAGGGCATCAGGGTTGAGTGAAGGGCATCAGGGTTGAGTGAAGGGCATCAGGGTTGAGTGAAGGGCATCAGGGTTGAGTGAAGGGCATCAGGGTTGAGTGAAGGGCATCAGGGTTGAGTGAAGGGCATCAGGGTTGAGTGAAGGGCATCAGGGTTGAGTGAAGGGCATCAGGGTTGAGTGAAGGGCATCAGGGTTGAGTGAAGGGCATCAGGGTTGAGTGAAGGGCATCAGGGTTGAGTGAAGGGCATCAGGGTTGAGTGAAGGGCATCAGGGTTGAGTGAAGGGCATCAGGGTTGAGTGAAGGGCATCAGGGTTGAGTGAAGGGCATCAGGGTTGAGTGAAGGGCATCAGGGTTGAGTGAAGGGCATCAGGGTTGAGTGAAGGGCATCAGGGTTGAGTGAAGGGCATCAGGGTTGAGTGAAGGGCATCAGGGTTGAGTGAAGGGCATCAGGGTTGAGTGAAGGGCATCAGGGTTGAGTGAAGGGCATCAGGGTTGAGTGAAGGGCATCAGGGTTGAGTGAAGGGCATCAGGGTTGAGTGAAGGGCATCAGGGTTGAGTGAAGGGCATCAGGGTTGAGTGAAGGGCATCAGGGTTGAGTGAAGGGCATCAGGGTTGAGTGAAGGGCATCAGGGTTGAGTGAAGGGCATCAGGGTTGAGTGAAGGGCATCAGGGTTGAGTGAAGGGCATCAGGGTTGAGTGAAGGGCATCAGGGTTGAGTGAAGGGCATCAGGGTTGAGTGAAGGGCATCAGGGTTGAGTGAAGGGCATCAGGGTTGAGTGAAGGGCATCAGGGTTGAGTGAAGGGCATCAGGGTTGAGTGAAGGGCATCAGGGTTGAGTGAAGGGCATCAGGGTTGAGTGAAGGGCATCAGGGTTGAGTGAAGGGCCATGAGATTGGCATGGATAGAGGAAAGAATGGGCAGAGCACTTTGCATGAGCTGGTTTCAATCAGGTCAAGTGCCATAACTCTAGTGCTGCTGCGTTCGGTGCACGCATGCACATCCAAGGTCCCAGAGTGGTTGTGCACGAGTGAGGGCGATCGTTCTAAGCGTGTTCCCATGCCATGTGCACACGCACGCACACAGGAGGTGAAGGACGGCCCGTTCGACCTGAGCATGGGGTTCCTCAAGTCCTTCAACGGCAGCACGGGGTACGGTGGTGACTGGGCCGTGCGCGTGGCCGTGGACCTCAGCCGTGAGAGGGTGGGCGGCGCAGTCAACGCCCAGTCAATGCCATTGTGAGTCAACGCCCAGTCAATACCCTTGTGAGTCAGCGCCCAGTCAATGCCCTTGTGAGTCAACGCCCAGTCAATGCCCTTGTGAGTCAACGCCCAGTCAATGCCCTTGTGAGTGAACAATAATCATTGCCATGTTGAGGCCTGCTCCCACTTCCTTCTCCCACTTCCTGCTCCCACTTCCTGCTCCCACTTCCTGCTCCCACTTCCTGCTCCCACTTCCTGCTCCCACTTCCTGCTCCCTCCCCCACCTCCACCCCACACACCAGTTTGGCTTCTCACTCGTCTCACTTCTCCTCCTCTCCCTCCCTCTCTCATCCCCACCGGCTGTTCCTCTTGCTCCACCCTCCCCCCTCCCCCCTCCCCCCTCCCCCCCGCAGCACGTTCTTCTTCTACGTGGCGGACGAGGCGGGCGCCCCGCTGCTGGCAGTGCCCTCGCCCCTCGACGTGGCCCGCCTTGTGCTGCACCCCGCCGCTGCCGCTGGGGCGGGTGGGGGAGAGGGCGCGAGTGGCAGTGCGGGGCGAGCGGGGGCGGAGAGTGACAAGGAGTGGGTGAGAGGGGGTTTTGATGACGAGGAGGACGATGAGGAGGACGAGGATGAGGAGGAGGAGGTAGGGGTGGGGAGGAGAAGGTTGAGGAGTGTGGAGGGCAGTGGGGTGGGAAGGGGTGGGGAGGGGCGAGGAGGTGAGAGAAGGGGAAACAAGGGGAGGAGGCTGAAGGCCAAGCCTGGTGGGGCGAAGCAGGCGGAGGGGAGTGGGGGGCAGCGGGCAGCGGTGGTGGCGGGGGGTGTGTCGGATGTGTTTGGGCGGTGGGAACTGCATGCAGTCACGCAGGTATGCCACCTGTGCCCCGTGGAGTGGAGAGTGTGCGTGTTGCACTCACGCCTCCCACTGCTGCCTCTCAACCCAAACCTCTTCTCTGCCCCCCCACACGCGCATCTCCCCTGCCCGCAAGCAGCAGGCGGAGGGGCCGGGGGCGACGTATGAGGCGATGCACACGCGGCACATGCACAACCTGTCAGACGCTGTCAAGGCTGCTCTCATCCGCCACGTACGTGCTTTCATTCCGTCAAGGCTGCTCTCATCCGCCATGTATGTGCTCTCATCCGCCATGTATGTGCTCTCATCCGCCATGTATGTGCTCTCATCCGCCATGTATGTGCTCTCATCCGCCATGTATGTGCTCTCATCCGCCATGTATGTGCTCTCATCCGCCATGTATGTGCTCTCATCCGCCATGTATGTGCTCTCATCCGCCATGTATGTGCTCTCATCCGCCATGTATGTGCTCTCATCCGCCATGTATGTGCTCTCATCCGCCATGTATGTGCTCTCATCCGCCATGTATGTGCTCTCATCCGCCATGTATGTGCTCTCATCCGCCATGTATGTGCTCTCATCCGCCATGTATGTGCTCTCATCCGCCATGTATGTGCTCTCATCCGCCATGTATGTGCTCTCATCCGCCATGTATGTGCTCTCATCCGCCATGTATGTGCTCTCATCCGCCATGTATGTGCTCTCATCCGCCATGTATGTGCTCTCATCCGCCATGTATGTGCTCTCATCCGCCATGTATGTGCTCTCATCCGCCATGTATGTGCTCTCATCCGCCATGTATGTGCTCTCATCCGCCATGTATGTGCTCTCATCCGCCATGTATGTGCTCTCATCCGCCATGTATGTGCTCTCATCCGCCATGTATGTGCTCTCATCCGCCATGTATGTGCTCTCATCCGCCATGTATGTGCTCTCATCCGCCATGTATGTGCTCTCATCCGCCATGTATGTGCTCTCATCCGCCATGTATGTGCTCTCATCCGCCATGTATGTGCTCTCATCCGCCATGTATGTGCTCTCATCCGCCATGTATGTGCTCTCATGCACGGGCTGCCATGCACGGGCTGTCATGCACGGGCTGCCATGAACGGGCTGCTGTCATCTGCAGGCTGCCCTGCTCCATGCATGCGCCCTCATGCACCACACCTGTGCATGCTCACATGTCGGCATTGCAATATCTCCATTTTTCCGTCACCTCCCCTCTTATTCAGCCTCTTGCTCTACCTTCTCACACCCCCTCGCCCACCTTTCCGTACGACGCCCCCCCCCGCCCCCCCCCCCCCCCCCCCCTTCCGGCAGTACCAGGCCACCCAGCAGCCAACGCTGGGCAACAAGGCACAGCCGCGCGCCAACGTGGCAATCATCCAGGTGCAGTAGAGATGCCAACGGTGCCTCGGACCTCTTGCACCATCTACTTGTGCACCACCACCGCACTCTACCGCATCACATCTGCTCGCCTCTGCTTGTGCTTCTGAGCTCTGCACTCGTTTCTGCTTTCTTTCTCCTTGTTGCCGCATCGTCTGCTTCTTGTGCCACCCATCCCCATCCATGGCCCCTCACTCGACTCTCACCCCCTCGAACGGTCCTTTGTATCAATGCGGGTGTTGCTCCCCTCTCCCTCTCCATCTCGCTGCCATCCCTCGCACGCCCCGCCCCACAGCTGACAGTGTGGCTGCCAGCAGTGGTGGACTTTGTCTTCCTCTCCGGCCTCCCCGCTCCCTCTGCTGCGCAATCGTCCTCACAACAAGCCGCCACTCGCCTCAACCTCCTCTCAGGTGCTACTCGCCTCAACCTTCTCTCAGGTGCCACTCGCCTCAACCTCCTCTCAGGTGCCACTCGCCTCAACCTCCTCTCAGGTGCCACTCGCTTCAACCTCCTCTCAGGTGCCACTCGCTTCAACCTCCTCTCAGGTGCCACTCGCCTCAACCTCCTCTCAGGTGCCACTCACTTCAACCTCCTTTCAGGTGCCACTCGCCTCAACCTCCTCTCAGGTGCCACTCGCCTCAACCTCCTCTCAGGTGCCACTTTCTCTCATAGTCCTTGCCTTGTCTTCAAACGGAATGATGAGTAGCACAGCACACACACACACACGCGCATGAAACCCCGTCTCCCCGCCTTTTCCAACCTCTCCGTCATGCCCTCCTCCCACCGTCCCTGCCCTCCTCCCACCGTCCCTGCCCTCCTCCCACTGTCCCTGCCCTCCTCCCACCGTCCCTGCCCTCCTCCCACCGTCCCTGCCCTCCTCCCACCGTCCCTGCCCTCCTCCCACCGTCCCTGCCCTCCTCCCACCGTCCATCCCCAGGCCCTGCGCTGGCGCGGCGCATGGGGGAGGCAGACGCGGCAGTGGAGCGCCGCATGGAAGCTTCCTTCCCGGTGGCCCCCGAGGTGAGGAGAAGCGGGCAGGTGGCAGTGGGGGTTGAGAAGGGAGAGGAAAGGGTGTGGGGGGACGGGATAGAGGCGCGTGAGGCGGTGGGATGGTTGGTGGAGGTCGGGGACCACTATCTGGTGCGTAAGAGCAAGGGGGATTGGAGCACAGGCGCATCATGGTTGCACCGTCAATGTGGATGTTGGCCTGTGGCCGTGTGCGCTCATGACAGTCCACTCTCCCTGCCACTCTCCCTGCCCGTCGCACAACCCTTCCCCCTTCCTGCCCATACAGCTGGCAGAGAAGATCCCCGGAGTGGGGGACGCTGTGAAGGCAGCGCTGAGCAACCTCATCGGAGGCATGGGGTACTTCCATGGCCGCTCCCGCATCGCCATTCCTCCCCACCTCAAGGTGCTTGCCAACACGCCTCCAGTGGTTTCGCATTGTCAGCTGAACAAGGCAGTTGGTCGCACCTGTCCCATCTCACACTCCTCTCACCGTGAGAGTCTCACCCACGCATTTCATCTCACCCACGCATTTCATCTCACCCACGCATTTCATCTCACCCACACATTTCATCTCACCCACGCATTTCATCTCACCCACGCATTTCATCTCACCCACGCATTTCATCTCACCCACGCATTTCATCTCACCCGCGCATTTCATTTCATCTCACCCACGCATTTCATCTCTCCGCTCATCAGTTCCACGTCATTCGCCCGCTTATCCTTTCAGGCGTGGCCACCACTACCCATACTCGTGCTCTGTCTGTTCATGCATGCATGCATGCTCCTCATGGCCCTATTTTCAACGCCCCTTCATTCTTCTCTCTGCTTGCCACCACCCCCTGTTCTTCACGCCCTCGAGCACGCCAGGACCCCAGCGACCCAGTGGGCTACTGGCAGTACTGGGCGGCAGCACTGTTCACCGCCACGCCCAGCCGCCCCATGTTCCCACGGGGCTTCCTCTGGGACGAGGGCTTCCACCAACTCACCCTCAGGTGACCCCAGGGGCCTCTCAGGTGATATTCAGGTGTCTCCCAGGTGAATCTCAGGTGGTTTCAGATGACCCTCAGGCGGCTCTCAGGTGCTCTTCAGGTGCTTCTCGGGTGACCCTCATGTGACCTTCAGGTGCCTCTCAGGTTACGCCCACCCCAGGTGCCTCTTAGGTGACCCTCAGGTGGCATTAGGAGCTTCCACCAGGGGTGACCCTCAGGTGCCACTGAGGTGGTGCGTGGGTGATTCCTCCAGATCGCACTGACGTGGCAGGTGCGTGTTTGTCCATGCCCACGGATGACCTTTCATTCCGTCTCGCCATACCAATGAGAGGAGACAATGCAGGGACCACATGAGTGTCACAAGACTCGCTGTGCAGCCTCTCCTGTCCCCCCGTGTGTGCATGGCATGGCATGGTGGCATGGCATGGCATGGTGGCATGGCATGGCATGGTGGCATGGCATGGCATGGTGGCATGGCATGGCATGGTGGCATGGCATGGCATGGTGGCATGGCATGGCATGGTGGCATGGCATGGCATGGTGACATGGCATGGCATGGCATGGTGGCATGGCATGGTGCCATGGCATGGCATGGCATGGTGGCATGGCATGGCATGGCATGGCATGGTGGCATGGCATGGCATGGCATGGCATGGTGGCATGGCATGGCATGGCATGGTGGCATGGCATGGCATGGCATGGCATGGCATGGTGGCATGGCATGGCATGGTGGCATGGCATGGCATGGCATGGCATGGTGGCAGGCGGTGGGACGAGCGCATGGCAATGGACGCGGTGGGGCACTGGCTGGATCTTCTCAACGCGGATGGCTGGATCCCCCGCGAGCAGATCCTGGGGGATGAGGCGCGCAGGTGAGGGGCCGTGGGGACGCATCGCCACTGCTGCTCACTTCCTGTGTGCTCCTCATGCTTGCGCTCTTTGCTCAGAGTGCTTCACACTGAATGTGCTGTGCTGTGTGCTGGTTCTGTGTGCATCCCGTGACAGGAAGGTGCGCCCATCCCTTTCCTCGCACCTTCTTCCTTTCCGTGTGCATGTGAACCACCCCCTCTCCGCCACCCCTCCATTCCCCCATGGCAACGACAGCAAGGTACCGGAGGAGTTCATACAGCAGCATGTGACCAACGGCAACCCGCCCACGCTCTTCCTGCCTCTCACCGGTGTGCACTCCGAGTGCATGTCGCCCTCTTTCTTTCTTCTTCCCACTCGTACCAAACGACCCTGTCCCATCCCCTCCGAGGATTCTGTTGCCATGAATCAATGCTTTTCAGCATGTGTTGCTGTCTGACTCTCGTATGCTCTCCATGACTGCCTGCTCTGGACGGTCACCACCTACATACCTTGCGCTTGTAACTTCCTTGCGCTATGCTACAATGGATGCGCGAACCTAGGATGCTGGTCTAATTGTTCGCTGCCTTGTTATTGTCTCCCATGAATCCATTTCCCTCTCACCTTATCACCCGTCTCTCAACAGAGATTGCTGATCTGGCAGCTCACAGTGCTGCCACGTGTCAACGGCTGCCAAACGGGTCGTTTGTGCCAAAGGAGGGGGTGGGGAAGGGAGTGGGGGCAGGAGGCGGGGAGGCAGAGGGGTGTGAGCGGGTGTCGTTCCTGCATGCATGCTTGCCGCGCCTCAAGGCGTGGTTTCGCTGGTTCAACTCCTCGCAGGCTGGTGCGTGTGGGCGGGCGGCTCACTGCTGGGTGGATGTGAAAAGCAGAGCGCTTGTGGGAAGCAGTGTGTGGGGGCGCACAAAGGTACACCTCTTCATTCCACTATGCTGCGCCGCACCTTGCGAATGCACATGTGTGGGTGCAAGCGGAGAGGGGCAGTGCTATGAGAGGGGCAGCGCTATGAGAGGGGTTGCAGCAGGAGCTCACCTCACTGCTGCCTCGCTGGGATGGTGGAATGCGGGCATGGCATGCAAGGGAAGAGTGGATGTTGCGGTTAGAGGAAGGGGGTTCCCCCACATGGGTCTACCACCACCACCACCACCACCACCACCACCACCACCACCACCACCACCACCACCACCACCACCACCACCACCACCACCACCACCACCACCACCACCACCACCACCACCACCACCACCACCACCACCACCACCACCACCCCCCCCCCCCGCCACCACCGCCGCCGCCGCCGCCGCCGCCGCCGCCACCGCCACCACCGCCACCGCCACACCGCCGCCGCCATTACTCCATTGCCCTGCCGCCCCCTTCACGTGAGCAGTGCCTATCCTCACATCACATCACATCACATCACATCACGTGAGCAACGCTGTATGCTGGCAAGGTGTTGGTGAGTGGGTGGCATGCGGCAAGGCCAGGTGGTTGAGGTGGGTGGCAGGTGTGCTCTCCCTCCCATGCATCGCCCTCTCTCCTTTCCTCCTCTGCCTTTTATCAGGGAAGCTGCCTGGAAGCTATTACTGGCGGGGCCGGGATGCCAGCACTGTGCGCGAGCTCAACCCTAAGGCCAGTCCCACCCCGCCCTCCTTTCTGCCCTCTTTGTTTTTTCCCTTGTTGCCGTCCCTTGTTGCCGTCCCTTGTTGCCGTCCCTTGTTGCCGTCCCTTGTTGCCGTCCCTTGTTGCCGTCCCTTGTTGCCGTCCCTTGTTGCCGTCCCTTGTTGCCGTCCCTTGTTGCCGTCCCTTGTTGCCGTCCCTTGTTGCCGTCCCTTGTTGCCGTCCCTTGTTGCCGTCCCTTGTTGCCGTCCCTTGTTGCCGTCCCTTGTTGCCGTCCCTTGTTGCCGTCCCTTGTTGCCGTCCCTTGTTGCCGTCCCTTGTTGCCGTCCCTTGTTGCCGTCCCTTGTTGCCGTCCCTTGTTGCCGTCCCTTGTTGCCGTCCCTTGTTGCCGTCCCTTGTTGCCGTCCCTTGTTGCCGTCCCTTGTTGCCGTCCCTTGTTGCCGTCCCTTGTTGCCGTCCCTTGTTGCCGTCCCTTGTTGCCGTCCCTTGTTGCCGTCCCTTGTTGCCGTCCCTTGTTGCCGTCCCTTGTTGCCGTCCCTTGTTGCCGTCCCTTGTTGCCGTCCCTTGTTGCCGTCCCTTGTTGCCGTCCCTTGTTGCCGTCCCTTGTTGCCGTCCCTTGTTGCCGTCCCTTGTTGCCGTCCCTTGTTGCCGTCCCTTGTTGCCGTCCCTTGTTGCCGTCCCTTGTTGCCGTCCCTTGTTGCCGTCCCTTGTTGCCGTCCCTTGTTGCCGTCCCTTGTTGCCGTCCCTTGTTGCCGTCCCTTGTTGCCGTCCCTTGTTGCCGTCCCTTGTTGCCGTCCCTTGTTGCCGTCCCTTGTTGCCGTCCCTTGTTGCCGTCCCTTGTTGCCGTCCCTTGTTGCCGTCCCTTGTTGCCGTCCCTTGTTGCCGTCCCTTGTTGCCGTCCCTTGTTGCCGTCCCTTGTTGCCGTCCCTTGTTGCCGTCCCTTGTTGCCGTCCCTTGTTGCCGTCCCTTGTTGCCGTCCCTTGTTGCCGTCCCTTGTTGCCGTCCCTTGTTGCCGTCCCTTGTTGCCGTCCCTTGTTGCCGTCCCTTGTTGCCGTCCCTTGTTGCCGTCCCTTGTTGCCGTCCCTTGTTGCCGTCCCTTGTTGCCGTCCCTTGTTGCCGTCCCTTGTTGCCGTCCCTTGTTGCCGTCCCTTGTTGCCGTCCCTTGTTGCCGTCCCTTGTTGCCGTCCCTTGTTGCCGTCCCTTGTTGCCGTCCCTTGTTGCCGTCCCTTGTTGCCGTCCCTTGTTGCCGTCCCTTGTTGCCGTCCCTTGTTGCCGTCCCTTGTTGCCGTCCCTTGTTGCCGTCCCTTGTTGCCGTCCCTTGTTGCCGTCCCTTGTTGCCGTCCCTTGTTGCCGTCCCTTGTTGCCGTCCCTTGTTGCCGTCCCTTGTTGCCGTCCCTTGTTGCCGTCCCTTGTTGCCGTCCCTTGTTGCCGTCCCTTGTTGCCGTCCCTTGTTGCCGTCCCTTGTTGCCGTCCCTTGTTGCCGTCCCTTGTTGCCGTCCCTTGTTGCCGTCCCTTGTTGCCGTCCCTTGTTGCCGTCCCTTGTTGCCGTCCCTTGTTGCCGTCCCTTGTTGCCGTCCCTTGTTGCCGTCCCTTGTTGCCGTCCCTTGTTGCCGTCCCTTGTTGCCGTCCCTTGTTGCCGTCCCTTGTTGCCGTCCCTTGTTGCCGTCCCTTGTTGCCGTCCCTTGTTGCCGTCCCTTGTTGCCGTCCCTTGTTGCCGTCCCTTGTTGCCGTCCCTTGTTGCCGTCCCTTGTTGCCGTCCCTTGTTGCCGTCCCTTGTTGCCGTCCCTTGTTGCCGTCCCTTGTTGCCGTCCCTTGTTGCCGTCCCTTGTTGCCGTCCCTTGTTGCCGTCCCTTGTTGCCGTCCCTTGTTGCCGTCCCTTGTTGCCGTCCCTTGTTGCCGTCCCTTGTTGCCGTCCCTTGTTGCCGTCCCTTGTTGCCGTCCCTTGTTGCCGTCCCTTGTTGCCGTCCCTTGTTGCCGTCCCTTGTTGCCGTCCCTTGTTGCCGTCCCTTGTTGCCGTCCCTTGTTGCCGTCCCTTGTTGCCGTCCCTTGTTGCCGTCCCTTGTTGCCGTCCCTTGTTGCCGTCCCTTGTTGCCGTCCCTTGTTGCCGTCCCTTGTTGCCGTCCCTTGTTGCCGTCCCTTGTTGCCGTCCCTTGTTGCCGTCCCTTGTTGCCGTCCCTTGTTGCCGTCCCTTGTTGCCGTCCCTTGTTGCCGTCCCTTGTTGCCGTCCCTTGTTGCCGTCCCTTGTTGCCGTCCCTTGTTGCCGTCCCTTGTTGCCGTCCCTTGTTGCCGTCCCTTGTTGCCGTCCCTTGTTGCCGTCCCTTGTTGCCGTCCCTTGTTGCCGTCCCTTGTTGCCGTCCCTTGTTGCCGTCCCTTGTTGCCGTCCCTTGTTGCCGTCCCTTGTTGCCGTCCCTTGTTGCCGTCCCTTGTTGCCGTCCCTTGTTGCCGTCCCTTGTTGCCGTCCCTTGTTGCCGTCCCTTGTTGCCGTCCCTTGTTGCCGTCCCTTGTTGCCGTCCCTTGTTGCCGTCCCTTGTTGCCGTCCCTTGTTGCCGTCCCTTGTTGCCGTCCCTTGTTGCCGTCCCTTGTTGCCGTCCCTTGTTGCCGTCCCTTGTTGCCGTCCCTTGTTGCCGTCCCTTGTTGCCGTCCCTTGTTGCCGTCCCTTGTTGCCGTCCCTTGTTGCCGTCCCTTGTTGCCGTCCCTTGTTGCCGTCCCTTGTTGCCGTCCCTTGTTGCCGTCCCTTGTTGCCGTCCCTTGTTGCCGTCCCTTGTTGCCGTCCCTTGTTGCCGTCCCTTGTTGCCGTCCCTTGTTGCCGTCCCTTGTTGCCGTCCCTTGTTGCCGTCCCTTGTTGCCGTCCCTTGTTGCCGTCCCTTGTTGCCGTCCCTTGTTGCCGTCCCTTGTTGCCGTCCCTTGTTGCCGTCCCTTGTTGCCGTCCCTTGTTGCCGTCCCTTGTTGCCGTCCCTTGTTGCCGTCCCTTGTTGCCGTCCCTTGTTGCCGTCCCTTGTTGCCGTCCCTTGTTGCCGTCCCTTGTTGCCGTCCCTTGTTGCCGTCCCTTGTTGCCGTCCCTTGTTGCCGTCCCTTGTTGCCGTCCCTTGTTGCCGTCCCTTGTTGCCGTCCCTTGTTGCCGTCCCTTGTTGCCGTCCCTTGTTGCCGTCCCTTGTTGCCGTCCCTTGTTGCCGTCCCTTGTTGCCGTCCCTTGTTGCCGTCCCTTGTTGCCGTCCCTTGTTGCCGTCCCTTGTTGCCGTCCCTTGTTGCCGTCCCTTGTTGCCGTCCCTTGTTGCCGTCCCTTGTTGCCGTCCCTTGTTGCCGTCCCTTGTTGCCGTCCCTTGTTGCCGTCCCTTGTTGCCGTCCCTTGTTGCCGTCCCTTGTTGCCGTCCCTTGTTGCCGTCCCTTGTTGCCGTCCCTTGTTGCCGTCCCTTGTTGCCGTCCCTTGTTGCCGTCCCTTGTTGCCGTCCCTTGTTGCCGTCCCTTGTTGCCGTCCCTTGTTGCCGTCCCTTGTTGCCGTCCCTTGTTGCCGTCCCTTGTTGCCGTCCCTTGTTGCCGTCCCTTGTTGCCGTCCCTTGTTGCCGTCCCTTGTTGCCGTCCCTTGTTGCCGTCCCTTGTTGCCGTCCCTTGTTGCCGTCCCTTGTTGCCGTCCCTTGTTGCCGTCCCTTGTTGCCGTCCCTTGTTGCCGTCCCTTGTTGCCGTCCCTTGTTGCCGTCCCTTGTTGCCGTCCCTTGTTGCCGTCCCTTGTTGCCGTCCCTTGTTGCCGTCCCTTGTTGCCGTCCCTTGTTGCCGTCCCTTGTTGCCGTCCCTTGTTGCCGTCCCTTGTTGCCGTCCCTTGTTGCCGTCCCTTGTTGCCGTCCCTTGTTGCCGTCCCTTGTTGCCGTCCCTTGTTGCCGTCCCTTGTTGCCGTCCCTTGTTGCCGTCCCTTGTTGCCGTCCCTTGTTGCCGTCCCTTGTTGCCGTCCCTTGTTGCCGTCCCTTGTTGCCGTCCCTTGTTGCCGTCCCTTGTTGCCGTCCCTTGTTGCCGTCCCTTGTTGCTGCACCACTCTTCCAGCTCCCTCACTGTTCCCTGCCTCCCTGCCTCGTCCCTGCCTGCATGTCGCCCACTCCAAGCCATCCATTCACTCCTATCGCCGTGCCGTGCCCTTTGTACCCCTCCCCATCCTCGCCCCCCCGCCCCCCCCATAACGCACCAGACGTTGCAGTCAGGACTGGACGACTACCCGCGGGCCTCCCACCCGTCGGAGGACGAGCGACACGTGGATCTGCGCTGCTGGCTCGCCACCGCTGCTGCTGCCATCGCCAAGATCGGCAGTGTGGTGGGGGAGGATGTGCAGGTGAGACGAGAGGCCAAGCGGGTGAGACGAGAGGCCAAGCGGGTGAGACGAGAGGGCGTGCGCGAGAGGCATTGTGGGCTGCCATCTCGCCTAGCTTGCCATCTCGCCTAGCTTGCCATCTCGCCTAGCTTGCCATGCAGCAGTGTGACCGCCTGCTGGCCACATGCAGCAGTGTGAGCGCCTGTGCTCTGTATGCAGCCTGTGCGCTGCAGTACCCTCACTCCCTCTCCTTGCATTTGCTGCAACTGTGCATGCGTGTGTTGTGCGTGCATGCGTGCATGTTTGCGCATATGAGTGCGTGCATGTCTGCATGTCTGCGTGTCTGCATGTCTGCATGCATGAGTGTGTACATGAGTGCGTGAATGTGTGCATGTATGAATGTGTGCATGTATGAATGTGTGCATGTATGAATGTGTGCATGTATGAATGTGTGCATGTATGAATGTGTGCATGTATGAATGTGTGCATGTATGAATGTGTGCATGTATGAATGTGTGCATGTATGAATGTGTGCATGTATGAATGTGTGCATGTATGAATGTGTGCATGTATGAATGTGTGCATGTATGAATGTGTGCATGTATGAATGTGTGCATGTATGAATGTGTGCATGTATGAATGTGTGCATGTATGAATGAGTGCATGCAAGCAGGAGTATGAGGCCACAGCCCAGCACCTCACGGACTTCACGCGTCTCAATGAGGTACCCCTCCCCTCGTGCTCATGCCTCTTGCACCAAGGCCCCTGGGTGGGTAATGGGCGGGTGGGTGAATGCATGGGTGGATGGGCGGGGGGGTAGAAGGGTGGGCGGTGAGAGCAGCCAGTTGCTGTGGGAGGGGCTGGCGTGAGTGGCGTGGCGGGTGCAGGGGATGGCAAGTTTGCACGTCAGGCAGTTACAAGGGTGCAGCGAGGGGGTGGGGGCTGGAAGGAAACAGCGCCAGCTGCATTGGCTGGAGGGAAGCAGCGCCGCCAGCTGGTGTAATCAGAGGCTGGCTGCCCAACACCGTCTCTCCCCCACCCATCTCTTTCCCTTGCGCCCCTCGCTTATCCCATCCTTCCGCCCTCTCTTCGTCTCCCTCATGTCTCCACCCCATGCTCGTGTGCACCCCATGCTCGTGTGCACCCCATGCTCGTGTGCACCCCATGCTCGTGTGCACCCCATGCTCGTGTGCTCCACCCCATGCTCGTGTGCTCCACCCCATGCTCGTGTGCTCCACCCCATGCTCGTGTGCACCCCATGCTCGTGTGCTCCACCCCATGCTCGTGTGCACCCCATGCTCGTGTGCACCCCATGCTCGTGTGCACCCCATGCTCGTGTGCACCCCATGCTCGTGTGCACCCCATGCTCGTGTGCACCCCATGCTCGTGTGCACCCCATGCTCGTGTGCTCCACCCCATGCTCGTGTGCTCCACCCCATGCTCGTGTGCTCCACCCCATGCTCGTGTGCTCCACCCCATGCTCGTGTGCACCCCATGCTCGTGTGCACCCCATGCTCGTGTGCTCCACCCCATGCTCGTGTGCTCCACCCCATGCTCGTGTGCACCCCATGCTCGTGTGCTCCACCCCATGCTCGTGTGCTCCACCCCATGCTCGTGTGCACCCCATGCTCGTGTGCACCCCATGCTCGTGTGCTCCACCCCATGCTCGTGTGCACCCCATGCTCGTGTGCTCCACCCCATGCTCGTGTGCACCCCATGCTCGTGTGCACCCCATGCTCGTGTGCACCCCATGCTCGTGTGCACCCCATGCTCGTGTGCACCCCATGCTCGTGTGCTCCACCCCATGCTCGTGTGCTCCACCCCATGCTCGTGTGCTCCTCCCCCTGCTGTGCGCTCGCCCTGCCCACGCCACCACCAGCTGCACTGGGACAGCAGGAGGCAGCGCTACGCTGACTATGGCAACCACACCGATAAGGTCAGAGGGGGGACGCATGGGGGCAGAGGGGCGGTGCATGGGGGCAGAGGGGCGGTGCATGGGGAGGCAGTGTGGAGTGGTGAGAGGAGCGGAGGGGAGGTGAAAGGAGGTTAAGAGGTGTCCATCCCCCACATATATATCCACATGCCCCGCCCGCCGCCTTGCCCGCCGCCCTGCCCGCCGCCCTACCTGCGCTTTGCCCACTGCCCTGCCCCCCGCCCTGCTTGCTGCCCTGCCGTGCGCCCTGTTGTGTGCCCCGGGGCAGCAGGTGCGGTTGGAGGTGGTGGAGGCGGTGGACCCGGTGACGCACAGCGTGCGACGGGAGCAGCGCCGCGTGGTGAAGGGCACTCCCACACTGCGACTCGTGCCACACTTCGGATACGTCTCACTCTTCCCGCTGCTGCTGCGCTTGATTCCGCCTGTAAGTCCACCCTGCCACTCCAATCCGTTGCCCCTCCTCTCGTGCTGTGCTGTGCTGTGCTGTGCTGTGCTGTGCTGTGCTGTGCTGTGCTGTGCTGTGCTGTGCTCTGCTCTGCTCTGCTCTGCTCTGCTCTGCTCTGCTCTGCTCTGCTCTGCTCTGCTCTGCTCTGCTCTGCTCTGCTCTGCTCTGCTCTGCTCTCTCGGTGCCCCATCTCTGCCTGTCCGCTCCCGTCCCCCATGGCATCGGCAGCATGCGAGTGAGTTGGGGCAGCAGCTGGAGGCGCTGCGCGAGGAGAAGCTGCTGTGGACGCCCTTTGGCCTGCGCTCCCTCGCCACCACCAGGTGACACGCTCCCTCGCCACCACCAGGTGACACGCTCCCTCGCCACCACCAGGTGACACGCCACACGACCACATAGCATGTGCCCAAATGGCACGTGGGGAGATGGCAGATGGAGAGATCGTGTGCCCGTGCCCACGGCTATGATGCTGCTGCTCATGCTCATGCCCACACCCATGCCCTTGCCCACGCCTATGCCCATGCCCATGTCCATGTCCATAGCCATTCCCATGCCCATGCTATTCCATGCTCACGTCAATGCCCATGCGCTTGCTCGCGGCACCAGCAACCATGGTGAGCTCAGCTCAGCTCCTTGTCTCAGCGCAACCACGCTCAGCTCCTTGTCTCCGCGCAACCTTCCATGGGTGCGGTGCGTGTGCGCCCGTCCCCCAGCGCGCTGTACATGCGGCGCAACACGGAGCACGACCCACCGTACTGGCGGGGGCCCGTGTGGATCAACGTCAACTACCTCGCACTCTCCGCCCTGCGCTTCTACTCCACTCGTACGCTCTCACCCCCAGGGTGGGCCAACACCTCCCCCACTCTCTTGCACGTGCACTCTCACGTCACGTGCCGTGCTGCTGACCTCACGAGTGGGTAGGATCATCAGTCCTGACCTTGCCCGGTGCAATTTTCTTCTGTGAATTGTCATCCTGAATCAGATGGGTTTGATCTCTCTCTCACTCCCATGCCATACCGCTGTCCCTCCTTTCCCTCCTTCCGTACATGTGTACACGTATATACGGAACCTTTAACATCCATACATAGCCCTGCACCTGAACACACACACATGCGTGTGCACACGCAGCGACACACACTCACATGCATGGGCGTGCACACACGCTCACTCATACATGTCTGCATGTGTGTACACACACACAGACACATGCATACACACGCGCACACACGTCCGCATGCTTCTTTCACAAATCAGTTGTCCTTCCCACGTCACCCGATCTTCCTCCCCTCGTGACCCGTTCTTTCCTCCCCTCATGCCCCATTCGTCCCTCCCCCACTCACCCTCAGAGGCAGGCCCACACAGGGGCAGGGCAGCAGAGTTGTATGGGGAGCTGCGCTTCAACCTCGTCAGGTACCCCACTGCATGCCACCCACTGCCTTCACTAGCTATCGCTTGAACCATCAAATCCGTGTTTGGTCCCATTTCTAACAACCCCATGACCTGAGTACTCCCGCTTTTGGGGTTTTCCTTAACTCTCCATGCTCTTCACGATTCACCATGTGCTGGCAGGAACATTGTGGAACAGTACCAAGAGAGTGGGTATTTCTGGGAGCAGTATGACAACACAGCGGATGGCAAAGGGAAGGGAGCTCATCCATTCACCGGATGGACTGCCTTGCTTGTCCTCATTGCATCCGATGCTTTGTGACGACCAACCAATCATTCATGACTGCTTCCCACAACCTTTGTGCAACACTGTTGCCAATGCTCATTGCTGGAACTTCCTGCTTATTTCAGTGGTACCTATGCCCTCCCCCCCTCCCCCCTCCTTGTTTAATCGTGAGACATCCCCAATGCCGGAAACTTGCTTACGGGACTAGCAGCTGGATAATGGCAGATTCTCTACTGACATTCCAAGAACATGATGCGAATGCGCATGTACAGAGGGAGACCTGGAAAGATGTACAATGCAATATGACATGGGTGCTCCCACCAGCGTGCGGAGGCAACTGCCTTACTCACGCACTGACCCCTCGTCCTTTTTATTCCAACATCCTCCTAGCTTGTATGTCATATCCAGCTTTTAGGGTTCTGTAGGTAGGGAGTTCTTAGTCGTCAGCAGCAGCCATAGGCAGTTCCAAGCAGGAAAACTCCCGTGCCACAAGGGGCTTGAGGTCGACGGAAGCGTGGGGGAACGAAAGCTCGCCGGGGCATTCCTGCTGCCTGCCACCCCGCCGCACCGCTCTGCATGTGCTGTTGCTGCACGTGCTGCTGCTGTAGCCAATGCATCCTTCGCTGGTGCTCGGCGAACATCGCCTGCTGCACGTAGATTCGTTGCATGAACGGCTCCCGCAGCACGAGTCTCGCCTGCAGCTGGTGGAGCGCGCTGGTCGCCCCCGTCGCCCGTTGCGTGCTGTCTTGACCCGAAAATGATATACGCGCTTCCTTCGTGTAGAGATCGTCGGGCAAACGAATTTCCGTATCACTCTCCTTAGTAGCACGCTTGTCCCCAGCCGCCTGTGCGATCGAGTCAGAAAGTGACGAAGCTGACGTGTTCCTGGATAGGCATGAGAAAGTGGATGCCACGGACGCATCGTCATCCGACTCGCCCACATTGTCGTCAGATTCGTCGGTGGATTTCTTGCTATCGTCGCATTCGTCGCTTTCGTCGTCATCCTTGCCGGCGCGCTTCGGCGCCTTGCTTGCCTCAAGCATCTGCGAGTGCTCACCCGTCGCACCGGAATGGGGGACCGTGACGGCAGCATCAGCTGCAGCAGCGGTATCACTGGGTGTACCGTTATAGGCAGGACCATTAGCACCCCACGCGTCGTTACCGCCGAAGACGCGAGGCGCGAGGTAAAGAGCGAAGATAGGCAAGACACGGCGCTGCTGCCGTGCGCAGTTATTCGAGCCTGGCCCTTGCTGCGATCTGGATTCCTCCAAGCAGCACTCAGCCATCTGCGTCGCTACATCCACGCACTTAGCGTCATCCGTGGCAGTAGTTACTACATTCGCAGCGAGGGGCATTCGTGGAGTTGCAAGCTTGCAGCCTCGCTTCATGTCGTGCTGGGTGCGAGTGCGAGTGAATTCTCAGTGTCCTGCTGCTGCGCGTTTTTACGCCAGCTGCTGTCTGCGAGATGCATGGAACTTTTCATGCTTATAACTATTCCGGGAGAAAGTGACTGGAAGCGGACTGAACAAGGGCTGAAACTCGTAATGGACTGAAATTGACCAGTGCTGATTTCCGGCGCTATTTTCAAGGGATGACATGGAGATATTGGTGTGTTGGGTCGACCGTAAGTGACGGTGAAAGCGCGACTCGGAGCGCTGATTTGCCTATGATGCTCCTGTTTGTTGCTTGCTGTTGGTGTATGGCATACGTGGCTTGGGGGCGGGGGGGAGCTGAAGAGAGAAGAGTAAGCTTTCCGAAGCTCACAAAGACGGGACGGGACTTTCGGAGGCTCAAATGGAGGGAGGTTCGAAGCACCAATCCACGTCGTCTCACCTTGCCAAATCACGACAGCGACCTTTGCGCGACAAATGTGGGTTTTTGGGTTGCGTAGTGTTACTAGGTGCAATGGAACGAGATAGCGAGGATTGCACTAGGTGTCAAACGAGTACAAAGTATGAGCGAAGTCATGAGCGAATACTTGTGTGCGAAACATGCAACAGTTACGCGGTGCGTGCAAGCTAGCTAGTGCTTGGCTGGCATCGAAGTTCGGGCTAGTCCTGAAGCGTAGTCTGACTCGGCCGGGCCAGCGGTGCATGGTTTGGTGAAACAGTGCGCGCGAAGTTGGCGAAGCCCCGTTAGCAATAACGAGCGAACAACGGTTGTTGTTGTACGAGTTGTTATAGGTCGCGGTAAGGAATGTCGAGAAAATTCCTTACAGTACCCCCCCCCCCCCCCCCTCCCCTCAAGAAGCCCCCTCCGTTACGCGAGTGCGTGTATATCGTGGAAACCCTGGCTCTTCAAGTACGCACACTTGCAGGGCAGGGTGGTTTTCGACCCAGCTATCTTCAGTTGGCGTGCGGTCCTTCCAGCGAACGGGGAACTCGATCCTCTTGATGCCTGTGGGGTGTCGAATCGGATGGCTCAAAAACTTCTCGGGCTTAATGATCGGCTCCGATGCAGGGCGATTCATGGATGGCGGGCGGTGACGAGGCAGTTGGCTTGTCGATGGGATGTAAGGGCGAAGCAAGCTAAAGTGGAATGATGGGCTGATGTACCAGTTGGTCGGCAACAGTAAATGGGCGGTAACTGGGGTGATCATGTGGCTAATTTAGAATGGTCCATAGTAGCGCGGTCAAAGTTCGGTACGACGGGCAGTCTTAGATTCTGTGTGTCGAGCAGTACGTAATCTCCTGACTAGTACGTTACCGGGCGGCGGTGGCGGTCAGCCTTTCTCTTAAAGATGATGTTGCCATTTTTTATTGCGTCTATGGCTCTGGTTCGGGCAGCTTGCAGAATTTCGGCGAATTGTTGCGCGCGTGGCGTTGGGTTATCCAGACTCGGCGTCATGGGCACAATTGGGTTTTGCCTGTAGTTCACATAAACGGGGATTGCTGTGTCGTCGCTGACGTGATGTTGTACGCGAACTCGATCAGCGGCAGCTGCTGCTCCCATGTTGTCGGGTCGTCACACGTGGCGCGGATTAACTGCTCCATGGTCTGGTTCGTCCGCTCCGTTTGACCGTCGGTCTCGGGGTGGTACGACGAGCTGAACTGTAGCCTGGTCCCGAACTGCTCCTAGAGGTTCTTCCAGAAGTTGCTGGTGAACTTCGTGTCGCGGTCGCAGATTATCGCGGCTGGTATCCCATGCAGTCGAACGACGGTTGCAATGAACAGACGAGCGGTTTCTGTCAACGAGAACGGACTGGAATGATGAACTAGCAAGGATTGTGAGTACAAATATGAAACCCTAATGTTGTGACCCCCCTATAGGCTAACCCACTACAGCCTACACAAATACAACATGTATAATGTTTGACACACCCCCATAGGCAAAGTGGGGGAGACCTAGGGGTCACAAGACCAGTCAAGGCAAAGCAAGGCAACAACAAGCTCAGGGTGGATCTCAAGGATTCCACACAAATTCCGAGCACAAGCTAGTGGTCACAAGACCAGTTCACATGCAGGTTTATAACAGAGCAAGAGATACAGTGATCACAACCTAGCAAGAGTAAACATGCAGGTATAGATATATATAGTAATCACAGTACAAGCAAAGTCAAGAGGTAAGTAAGTGAGGTCCAGTAGGCACAAGGCCTAGTAGAGTGCAGAAGCGCTGATGGTCACGAGGCTGAAGCGCCTTGGTGAACACATCAGCAGTGTTGGCCTCAGTGGCCACGTAGCGAATACAAAGCTGACCGCGCTGCTGCAGCTCACGAGCAAGGAAGTACCGCAGGGCGATGTGCTTCGTTCTGTGCTCCAGTCTGTGCTCCTCACACAAGGCAATGGCAGCCTTGTTGTCGACGTACAGTACTGGAGGAGAACGAGGCGGCTCTCCGAGGTCGGTCAGCAGGTAGGTCAGCCAGCGTAGCTCCTGGGCAGCCATGGCTGTAGCGTAGATCTCAGCCTCGCAACTGGAGCCGAGAACAGAAGAAGAGCGTGTAGAGCGCCAAGAAACTGAGCCAGAGCCAAGGCTGAAGGTGTAACCCTGAGACGACCGCTGAGTGGCCTGGTCGTCTGCCCAAGAAGCGTCTGAGTGCCCTGTGAGAACAACTCGGTCTCGCCCTCCAAGCACAAGCCCCATGCCCGACGTACTGCACAAGTAGCGCAACACCCTCTTAGCGGCATCCATGTGCTCCTTCCTGTGACGGCCAGGAGCGACATAGCGTGCAAGGATGCTAAGAGGGTATGCAAGGTCAGGTCGAGTGCAGGTCATCAGGTACATGAGGCAGCCCACAAGCTCTGGATACGGGCCACTCGGCTCTACGGACTCATCTGAAGGCAGAGCTGAGAGCGAGTGACCGGTAGGCAGAGGAGTGGACTGAGGCGAGGAGTACGTGAAGCGGAAGCGCTGGAGAACCTGCTGCACCATGTGTGACTGAGTCAGGGTGATGGTGCGCCGTGCTCTGTCCCGGGTGATCCGCAAGCCAAGATAGCTTGTCAGCTCACCCAGGTCTGTGCACGTGTGTCTCCTCTGCAGCTCCGACTTCACGTAGGCGAGTCCTGCAGTGTCAGCAGTGGCAAAGACCAAGTCGTCGACGTATACGAGGATGTAGAACGGCGGCAGCGAAGTGTCGGTGCGCAGAAACAGCGACGGGTCAGCTGTAGAAGGCGCGAACCCAAGAGCCGCAAGTGTAGTCCTCAGTGTGTCGTGCCACTCACGCGGAGCCTGGCGGAGACCGTAGACCGGCCGCTGAAGCCTCCACTGGGTACCAGGAGGAAACGACCCAGTGAAGCCAGGTGGGCGGCGCAGCCAGATCTCCTCGTGCAGGCTGCCCTGCAAGAAAGCAGTGCTGAAGTCAAGTGAGTGAAGCTCGTAGTCGCGGTGAGCGGCTATGTGCAGCAGCACCCGAAGAGTAGTCATCTTCGGGGTGGGGGAGAAGGTCTGGAAGAAGTCAACTCCCTCTCGCTGACTGAAGCCTCGAGCCACGTAACGCGCCTTGAAGACAGGCGGAGAACCCGGCGGCCGCTTCACCCTGAAAATCCACATGCCACTGACGATGTTCGCCCCAGGAGGGGGAACCTCGTCGACGTAGGTGCGTGTGGACTTCCAGGAAGCCATCTCGGCATCCATGGCTGTCTGCCACTGAGAGGAGTAGGGACCCGCCATCGCCTCAGCGTAAGTGCGTGGGGTCGGGATGTCTGGTGCATCCGGGTCTCCCTCAGGGGCAACTAGCAAGGACACGAGACGGGGCAAAGCAGCAGCAAGACACTGGAACTCCTCCTGTCTGTCCTCAAGGACGTCCGTGCCAAGAGCACACTCACCCCCGACGGACGGAGGACAGACAAACTGAGACTCAGCAACAAGACTAGCGGCGTAGTCTAGACGACAGGCAGCAGCAAAGTCAACAAGCTCAGCGACCAAGGCAGACGCAGCCGAGGACTCAAAGGTAGGGTCAGTGACAACAGTAGCGAGGAGACGCGTGACAGTAGGGTGCTCAGCACGATACCGGTCAGACTCAGGGGCCGGAACGTCAGGCAAAGAGGACGCAGGAGGAGACGGTAGAGGGACACGCTGAGGAGCAGTAGAGGGACGCAGAGTCATGTAGTGAGTGCCTGGGACAGGAGGAGGACGCTCACAACGGACACGACTACCAGTGCGAGCAGGACGAACAGGCGACGCAGGACGAGACTCAGGCTCACGACGCTCTGTAAGACCTCCTGTGGGACCAGTGTAAGGAGAGGGAGCAGGGAGAGGCGAGGTAGGCGGTAACAGTGACTGCGGCTGGACAGGCGGAGGACACGCTACGGAGGGAGGAGGACAAGGAGGAGGAGCCTGCCCAAGAACCTGCTGAAGGAGCGGTACGAAGTACGGTCGCGGCCGCGCAGCGTCTCCAGAAGCAGAAGAGACTCCAGCGGCCGGGTCCTCAGTACCAGTAGGAGCTCCAGCGTCCGGGTCCACAGCACCAGCAGCAGCTCCACCGGCCGGGTCCTCAGCACCAGTAGTAGCTCCAACGCCCGGGTCCTCAGCAGCAGCAGCAGCGCCACCGCTCGGGTCCTCAGCTCCAGCAGCAGCTCCACCGTCCGAGTCCTCAGCACCAGCAGCAGCTCCACCGCCCGGGTCCTCAGTACCAGTAGAAGCTCCGACGTCCGAGTCCTCAGCACCAGCAGCAGCTCCACCAGGCGGGTCCGCAGCACCAGCAGCAGCTCCAACGTCCGGGTCCTCAGCACCAGCAGCAGCGCCACCCCCAGGGTCCGCAGCACCAGGAGCACCACTCCGAAGACTGCAGCGCCGTGTGTACCACTCGTGGATCTGCTGAATGGGGGGGAGCTCCCGGGTAGGAGGGGAAGTACCGGGACGAGCTCCAGCAGCACCTCTCCGGAGGCGGCAGTACTCGAGGTACCTCTCCTGCAGCTGCTGGGAGGAGAGGGCTCCTCCAGGTGTAGCACGCTCAGGCTCAGCACCCCCGGACTCAGCACCCCCAGACTCAGCACCCCCAGGCTCAGCACCTCCAGGCTCCGCACCTCCAGGCTCCGCACCCCCAGACTCAGCACTCCCAGGCTCGGCACCCCCAGACGCAGCACCCCCAGGCTCAGCACCCCTAGCAGGACGAGAGTCAACAGCTACCTCGACAGGCTCACCCGGGTCTACCTGGGACACACCTGAGGGAGCGGCACCCTGAGGGGGGAGGGGGTCTGGTACCTCAGCACCTGGAGCGAGGAAGAGAGGTGGGGGGGGGAGCGGGGCAGTGCGGTAGGGGAAGAGGCGGTAGTAGGGGACGGACTCGTCAAAAGTGACGTCCTGAGAGGCCAGGACACGACGCGAGGTGGGGTGGTAGAACTGCCAGCCAGGGGCGTCCGGGACAAAGCCAAGGAAGACGCAGGGGACAGCGCGACGGGAGAGCTTGTCCGCGGACGTGTCGCGGACAAAAGCTCGGGATCCCCAGACCCGAAAACGCGACGCATCGCCAGCCTCTCCCGTCCAACGCAGTGTCGGAGAAGTCTCGGGCAAGGAGACACGGGGCCAGAGGTTGAGCTGATGCGCAGCGTATCGGACTGCAAACGGCCACAGAAAATGGGGGGCAGCCGCATGGCTCAAGGAGGTACGAGCGACCTCCATGACCAGACCAATGCGGCGCTCAGCAACCCCATTCTGCTGTGGAGAGGCCGGAAGCGTGTACGACTGCTCAATGCCCTCCTGCTGACAGAAGGCCTCCAAGAGGCCAGAGGTAAACTCCCCACCTCTGTCAGAGTGCAGACGCAGGACAGGGAAGTCGGAGCGGAAACGCTCACTGAGCTGGAGACGAGATCTGCGGATCCAGGGGATCAATACATCAGGGACGTCACCCTTGGCGCGCAAGGGGAAGACCGTGGTGAAGCGCGAGAAGTCGTCAACAACAATCAGGAAGTACCTCTCCTAACCCTGTCCATGGACGCGGGCTGGGCCCCACACGTCCAAGTGGAGCGTCTGCAAAGGAGCAGTCGTCGGGGGAAAGGAGGAGGAGTGAGGAGCGGCGCGCTGCCGCCCCTCGACACAGGGAATACAGGGAGGAGCAGGCGAGTCTGGAAGGGGAGGGAGTACCCTGGGAAGACCAGCAACAAGGTCCCGTTTGTGCATGGCCCGAAGGCGCTGCACAGACGGGTGACCAAGACGGTGGTGCCAAAGGACAGTCTCATGCGCCAGAGAGCGACACGAGCAGGGGGCGGACAGCTGACCTGACGCAGACGCAGACGCGGACGCAGCTACCTGAGGGGACTCAGTGGTCAGTGTGTAAAGGTCCGACCCCGGCTCCCGAGTGAAGGTAGCCAGGTGGCGACCCGTCCGAGCACACGTGCAGTGTGTCACGCGCTCGTAGGCGGGGGTGAACTGGTGAACACCCCCGTCCTGGAGCGCACTACCTGCCACCAAGTTCGTAGAGAACGAGGGGAGGTAGAGACCTGACAGCGTGCCGGACGGGACCGCCGGACAAGGAAGGACAGTGGAGGAGGTCGCAATGACCGGACCCCCAGAGGGGTCAGCAAGGGAGACAGCAACTGGCCGAGCGAGTGGCTCAAGGACAGTGCGGTCACGAAAGAAGGAGCGAGAAGCACCTGAGTCCAGTGTGAAGGTGTGCAGTGCTGCAGTCGACTCAGTACCAGGGGGCACGGACGCACTAGCACCTAGGGCTGCAGCCTCACCAGGACCTGTGGGAGCAGACGCACTAGCACCTAGAGCGGCAGCCGGACTGGCCTGAATGCCCGGGTCGGGCGGAACACGCAAGTACTGAGCACCCTCTCCACTAATAGACATCGCATACATGGCAGTGAGAATAGCATCAAAGTCTAAAGCCCAAATATCAACACCCCTCTTTTCCAGATCAGCCCAGCGCGGCAGCTCAGTGGCAGCAGGAAACTGAGTGCGCCACGCGTCGGTAAGGCGCGCGAAGCAGCGCTGCGTGGGGTGCGGCCTCCCACACTGCTGGCCGCTGCAGTCACCTGTGCGAATGACGTACGTGCAGGTAAAGCCACGCTGCGCATACCACTCACGGGCGGCCTGAAGCGTCGGGGCGGGCTGCTGACTCTGCCCTCCGCCAGTGCCTCCACGACCACCACCCCCACCGCCGCCGCCCCGGCCACCTCCACCCCTGCCGCCACCACGACCACCTCCGCCTCCGCTGCCGCCTCCGCCACCACTCCCACCGCTGCTGTCTCCTCCCCCACTGCCGCCACTAGTCTCCCCAGCCGCGCCTCCACTCCCACCGCCTCCACCCCCACCTCCTCCGCCGCCACCCCCACCCCTGCCCCCCTTGTTCCTGCGGCGCCCGCTCGAAGCAGACGCGGTCCCGACCTTCTCAGCACCAAGAAGGTCGACAGCAGCAGCAGAGGCGACAGAGGGGAGGAGGGGGGAAGGGGAACACCCCTCAAAGAACGGGGTGCGGGGGTCGCCACGAGAGGTGCCTACAGCGACGATGCTCGCCTCAGCTGCAAGCAGTTCCTTCTCGAGGAGGGCAACAGTGAGCTCAGTGGGGGAGCGAGAGAGGAAGTGGTCCCTGACTGCGCGCAGAGAGTCAGGGAGGCGGGTGACGATGTGGTAGAGAGTGATCCAGAGCGGGGGGGGGTTGCTAGTGAGAAACTCGGCAGGCATAGCAGCGCGAAAGCGGGCCTCACTAGTCTTAAGGTGGGTGATGAGGTCTGCGACAGTGTGAAAGGAGGCTAGGTCGGGGAACAGGTAGGGGAGAGTGAGGCGGCCTAGCGTGGCAGAAGCGGGTGAGGAGTAGCGGGCAACTACAGCGGTGTAGAGGTCCTTAGCAGTCTTGCACTGGCCGAAGTGCTCGCGCTCGTCTAGCGGCAGGGAGTTGCGAATAGCAAAGCGAGCGTGCGCATCACGGGTCTGCCACTGGGAACGCAGAGTGCTGTCAGCAGTCGAGTCAGGGGCAGTGGCATGGCCTAGGGCGTGGTCGTACAGTGAGATATCTGTCAGAATGTTATTATTGTCTAGCCTGTAGTGGGGTGCTCTATAGCGAGTACAACCCAGTTAGGGTTTGCTATATGTACCCCAACTGCTGCTAGTGAAACCCCTCTCTCCTTTCATTCATTTTTGCCTAGTTCTGTTAACATGCTATCAGAGCAGGTCGACCCCCTTGGGTCGATCCTGTGGGTGGGCCCGCCACCTAACTGCTTCCGCTGCTATTCTGCTTCTCGCACGCCTCGGGCGCGCGCCGTCTTCTTCTTGCCGCGCGCGGAGCGCGCGGGGAAAATTTTTAGGGTTTTTCATCCCGCCGTGCGCTCAGGGCGTACGGCGGTTTTCTGCCCGCCGTGCGCCCCGAGGCGCGCGGCGGTTTCCTGCCCGTCGTGGCGCCCCCGAGGACCTGCGCGCTGCCCCCCGTCGTCCTCCTCCCGTCGCCTCGTCGCGGCGCCCTGGGGGCCCGCGCGTCCCCCCCCTCCCGTCGCCTCGTCGCGGCACCTTGGGGGCCCGCGCGCCGCCCCCTCCCGTCGCCTCGTCGCGGCACCTTGGGGGCCCGCGCGCCGCCCCCTCCCGTCGCCTCGTCGCGGCGCCTAGGGGGCCCGCGCGCGGCCCCTCCCGTCGCCCGTCGAGCCGCCCTCGGGGGCCCGTGCGCGGCCCCCCTCCCGTCACCCGCCGTGGCGCCCTCGGGGGGCCCGCGCCCTGCTTCTTCGTGGCGCCCAAGAGCCACCCCGCTGCCTCCCTTCCCCTCCGTGCCCCGCCCCTGCTGTTTCCCGTGCTCCTGCCTGCGTTAGGGTTTGGGGGTGGCGGGCATGGGGGTGACCGGTGTGGGTAACCTGCGGCTCCTCCTCCTCCTCCGTCTCCCACTGCTGCAGCTGCCGCTGAGGGGGGTGGGTGTGTGGGAGCCGAGGGTTTAGGGTTTAAGGGGGGTGCCGTGGAAGTGGAGCTAGGGTGTCAGCAGGGGGTGTGTGAGAGGGGCGTGGGACGGTCGGGGGAGGTTGCGTGGAGGTAGCCGTCGTGACGCCAGCAGCGCCAGTAGTCCGGATGCCCTCGCGCGTTTCGGTAGCCCAGCGAGCCTGCTTCGCCAGTCGCCTGTGGGTCCGTTGCTCCTGTGTGTGCTCGTCGTAGCCGCGGAGCCAGATACTCCCGTAGTCCGGTGCCCTCGTGCGCTCGGTAGCCACTGTGCGCGCCGCTCCTGTTGCCCGTGTGTCTGCAGCTTCAGTCGGCGCCTTTCATCTTCTCGCCCTCACAGTTTCTCCTCCTCCTCACTTGCCCTCTATGATCACCTCTAGCTTTGCTTATAATTGTGAACTATTGCTATGCCTGCTCATTGTACTGATTACACCCCACTTTGGCTATGGGGGTGTGTCAGAATGTTATTATTGTCTAGCCTGTAGTGGGGTGCTCTATAGCGAGTACAACCCAGTTAGGGTTTGCTATATGTACCCCAACTGCTGCTAGTGAAACCCCTCTCTCCTTTCATTCATTTTTGCCTAGTTCTGTTAACAATATCTTCCTTGGCAGTGAGCTGTAGGAACAGGTGCAGGTCATCTAGCCAGGTTTCGAACTTCACTGGACGGCCCTCGGCATCGAAAGCTAGAACTGGAGGACTAGCCATAGTGACAGTAGCAGTAGCAGTAGTAGCAGTAGTAACAGTAGTAGTAGGAATCAGGCCGCTGGAAAGGTGTGCGGAGGGTCAACAGTCCGTAGTGGCACACGAGCGGCAGTAGTAGGTAGCGTGGCAGCAGGAGCTGCAACGGCGCACTGGTGGCAGCTGCAGTGGCAGCAGTGTGCGCGGTAGGTAGAAAATAAACAACAGTGAGAGCGAGTGCCTCGCGGGCGGCGGCTGCAGAAGCGCACGGGCGGCAGCGGCGCACGGGCAGCGGCAGCGCACGGGCAGCGGCAGCGTAGGGGCAGCGACGGCGCACGGGCAGCGGCGGCGCACAGGCAGCGGCGGCGCTCGGGAGGCAGCGGTGCGCAAGCAGCAGCGGAAGCAGCGGCGTACGAGCGGCTGCGGGCAGCGGGGCGTGCGCGAGCAGGCGACGGGCGGCTGCGGGGCGTGTGCGAGCAGGCGACGGGCGGCTGCGGGGCGTGCGCGAGCAGGCGACGGGCGGCTGCGGGCGGGCGGCCGCTGCGACGGCGGGCTGCGGGCCTGCGGGGCGTGCGCGAGCAGGCGACGGGCGGCTGCGGGGCGTGCGCGAGCAGGCTACGAGCGGCTGCGGGGCGTGCGCTAGCAGGCGACGGGCGGCTGCGGGGCGTGCGCGAGCAGGCGACGGGCGGCTGCGGGGCGTGCGCGAGCAGGCGACGGGCGGCTGCGGGGCGTGCGCGAGTAGGCGACGGGCCGCGCGCGAGGGAAATAAGGCGCGCGCGGGCAGCAGGCGGGGCGCACGTATGAAAACGACCGCGCGCGAGCGGCTAAGGGGCGGCGCGACGGGGCCTTAAGGGGCGGGTCGCGGGTCGCGGGATGTAGGGGCCGTTAAAAAAAAAATTCGAGGCGCCCTAGGTAGGTAGGTAGGTAGGTAGGGAACGGTGGGCCCTTAAAAAAAACGGTCCTAGCGAAGGACCTGCTCTGAAACCATGTCAACGAGAACGGACTGGAATGATGAACTAGCAAGGATTGTGAGTACAAATATGAAACCCTAATGTTGTGACCCCCCTATAGGCTAACCCACTACAGCCTACACAAATACAACATGTATAATGTTTGACAGTTTCTTCGGATGAGATCGATTTCTTGCACGCAGCGAAGTGAGTCATTTTTGTCAGTCTGTCAACGACGACCATTACCGCGTCGTTACCCCCCAAAGGTTCGAAGGTAACCCCGTGACGAAATGCATGATAACCTGCTGCCAGCCACGCTCGGGTGGTGGAATCGGCTGCAACTGACCCGCCTTTCGTTTTCGCGAGCTCTTCATTACCTGACACGTAGGACACGAGCCCACGTGGTGCTGTTCATCAATCACCAGCTCCGGCCAGTAGTAATACCGCTGCAGTTGCTGTTGCATTTTTTCTACCCCGAAGTGGCCCCAGATAATCCCGTCGTGTGCCTCCTGCAGTAGCAGCTCCCTCAGTAGTGAGTACGCGGGTACCCAAATGCGGTTGGTGCCTGTTTTTACGTAACAGACTCCCTCTGCTTCTGCCATTTGTCGTCGATTTCCAGTCGTGAAAAATGGGTCGGTGCGATATCCGTGGGTGAATAGGTCTGTTAACAGTGGGTTGGTTTGGGCGAGTAGGATGGCGTGAAGTTGGGCGGTAGGGCGGGTGAGGGCGTCGGCTATGTTCGATGCTCCCTTTTTGTACGTGACGGTGTAGTGGAAGTTGGACTCCAGATAGTCCAACCAGCGGATCTGTCGCTGATTGAGATTCGGTTGGGCGCAGAGGTACTGTAGCGGTCCATGGTCTGTCCGTACTGTCACGTCAGCTCCGGTAAGGTAGCATCGCCATAATTTGAACGCGTGCATGATCGCCATCATCTCGCGGTCGTGTATCGGATAATTGCGCTCGGGCGGGTGAAGATTTCGGGACTCGTACGCGATTGGCTGAAGGCCGTTCCCAAAGTCCTGCAACGGTACTGCTCCCACGGCGATGTCGCTTGCGTCGGTGACCAGTTCGAACGGGCGGTGTGGGTCGGCGATGTGCAGTACGGGCGGCGAGCACAAAATTTTCTTGAGGGCCGAGAAGGCAGCTTGCTCTTTCTCCCCCCACGTGTACTCAACCCCCTTCCTCAGCACGTCGGTCAGCGGGGCAGTCAACTTCGCCATGTCGGGGACGAACCGGCGCACGTAGTTGACGAACCCCAAAAAACTCTTCAGCTCAATCGGGTCTACTTCGTCGCGATCTACTTCGGTTCTATTTCCACTCCGTTGGCTGAAATTATGTGCCCTAAAAACTCCAGTCTGTCCTGAAGAAACTCACACTTGGAAGCTTTTGTCAGTAGGCGGTTCTTACTCAGTATTATGAAAACTGCTTCGATGTCCTTTCGGTGCTGTGCTCTGTCCGGGCTGTAGATCAGTATGTCGTCTAAGTACACGATGACGCACTTATCTAAAAGTGGGCGGAAGGCTTCGTTCATGGTCATTTGGAAGATTGCAGGGGCGTTGGTCAGTCCGAAGGGCATTACCGTGTATTTGAACGATCCGTAGCGTGTTCGGAAAGCCGTTTTCGGGCAGTCGGGTAAATTGACGCGGATCTGGTAGTAACCTCCTCGAAGGTCGATTTTCGAGAAAACCCGGGCTGTGCGCAGTTGATCGATCAGTTCGTCGGCTCGCGGGATGGGGTAACGGGATTTGATGGTAACTCTGTTCAGTGCACTGTAGTCGATGCACATGCGAAATCCCCCGTCTTTTTTTGGTGTGAACAGTATCGGTGCTGCGAACGGTGATGAGCTCGGGCGAATATTTTTTCTCTCGAGCAGGTAATCCAGCTGTTTCCGCAGTTCGTCCAGTTCGGGTTGGGTCAGTCGGAACTGTCGCTGTACTGTCGGCTGTGCCTCCGGTTCTAACTCTATCCTGTGGTCTTGCGGTCGCTTAGGTGGTAATCCTGTCAGCAGGTCATCTGGGAAGATCCCACTGTACTGCTTCAGTAGTGCCGCCAAGTCATCCGGTAAGTTCGCTAGCAGTTTCTCTAAATCGCTCTCCTTGTCTGCTGCCTCGGCTTCCCGAATGTCAACCGCATACACGTCAGCTCCTGCTGCTACAGCACGTTTCATCGAAATCGCGTTGACACGCACCGACGAAGGCGAGCCCCAATGAGGTAAGGAGATCCTGTTACCGTTCACTCGCACGGTGCAATCACCCGTCGTCCAGCCGATTCGCGGATTGTGTTGTCGCAGCCAATCACGGCCGAGTAAAATGTCGGTCTCGTCGAGGATCGTTGCGAGCATTTTTTGGCTAAACGTGAAGTTACCCCCCCACCGGATCCGAACTCGGTCTACGCGTTCCCATATAGCCAGTGGCGTGCCGTTGACCAGTCTTGTATCGATTTCAGGTAAGCATCTGTCCAGTGGCAGTTTTAGTCTCCGTGCTGTGGCTGTGGCTGGCTCCCCCGTCCATGAAGATTTTAACTAAGTCTGTCCCAATCTTCCCACTAATTAATATGGAGCTATCTACCGCGGTACCCTCCTTATTCGGCCGGGTGTGGTCGATTGCGTGAACCGGCACAATCACTCGGTGAGGGTCGGTTGGGTCGGGCGAGCGGCGTGACCTGTCAGTAGAGGGCCCGTCTGCTGCTGACTCCCAACGTTTCCCTGCTGCTTGGTCTATTTCTGCTGCTCATCTTCCCCCCTTTCCCTTAGCGTTTTCCGGGCATTCGCTTTTGCGGTGTCCCGGCCTGTTGCCGTGAAGCAGCGCCCTTTAAACGACGCGGCAGCGGCATTCACGGCGACATCGTGTATCGTGGCATGCGCGTTCGTCCCACGAGGCCGATGTCCCCAGTTGCTGCTGCTGCTGTAGGACCCCGGTCTCGGTCGGTTGTTGCTGCTGTCGTAGCGAGAATCTCTTGAAATCTGGTGATGTTGTGGGGCTGAATTTCCTAGGCAATCTCGTGCTTCAGGCCGCCGATGTAGCGGTCGATGCGCTCGCCTTAGTGCATGTAGCCCACTTGCTCACACAGCGCCAGAAACCCGCTGGTGTAGTCCTGGACGGAACCGAGCTGACGCCAGGTGCGGAGCTTCTGACGCGCCGCGATCGAAGCCGCAATTGGCTCGAATCTCGCGTGCAGATCTGCGCACCACACGTCCCACGTACGATACTGGGGCACTTCTACGGAATACGACGGCGCCCAGGGTCCGGTTTGTCCTTCCCGTGTCGGTAGAGTCGCGTAGTCCGTCGGCTTCGTGACGATGACATGCTACCAATCCATGGCGGGTCCTCGCAGCAGCGACACGACGTTACGAATCTTTGCCATTTCCTCCGAGACGTAGTTCGCGTCGAAAAACACGTTCATGGTGAATAACGACGCCTGAACGGTAGGACCACCCCGTTGACTCGGGTCAAAGCATGGCGGACGCTGCGGCTTCAGCGGCATCGGCGATGGCAGTGCTGACTCGCCGGTCGGCACCGAAATCGTGATGCGAGGTTGGCTTCTGGCCGCATTCGTCGCTCCGGGGTGTGTCGCTCCGTGGTCGTCGTCTCCTCGTTGTGGGCGACGCCATCACTAGCCGCGCTCGAGGGTTGCCCCACACTTTCGTGTTGTGATGCCTTTCATGCGCGTTGTCCTTGTGTGCCTTGCGATTGTGCTTGCTGTACTCGTGCGACGTCGTTTTGCGGGTTGTCGTTGTGTCTTGCGTGAGCGTCGTGACGTTGATGTGCTCGGCCATATCGAAGGGCGTCGGCTCAGCTTAGTCTAGGAGCCGTCGTGGCTGCACATGTTTACAAGAGAACGCGAGGACATCGGCTCCTAGGGGCTAAGGGGCGTGAGTCCCTTAGAGCAAAAATCAAAAGTTGATTTCCTGGGGTGCGGAGATGCGCGGTCCGAAAGGAAAGTGGCTCTAATAACCAAGTGTTACGGGTGCAATGGAACGAGATAGCGAGGATTGCACTAGGTGTCAAACGAGTACAAAGTATGAGCGAAGGCATGAGCGAATACTTATGTGCGAAACATGCAACGGTTACGCGGTGCGTGCGAGCTAGCTAGTGCTAGGCTGGCATCGAGGTTCGGGCTAGTCCCGAAGCGTAGGCCGACTCGGCCGGGCCAGCGGTGCATGGTTTGGTGAAACAATACGCGCGAAGTTGGCGAAGCCCCGTTAGCAGTAACGGGCGAACAACGGCTGCTGCTGTACGCGATGTTGCAGGTCGCGGTAAGGAATGTTGAGAAATTTCCTTACACGTAGCAACCATTTACATTTGGGTTTTCCCCTTTTCAGGGAACTCATATGAAGAGTGCAATTTTTGTCATTTTTTCCCAACGTCTGGAACACTCGCTTTAACGTTTTGAGAACGAGTGCTCCAAATGTGTGGAGATGACACGCTGATACACGAGTCTCCAAAAAAGGTGAAACCAAATGAGACCAATTATTCCATAATCACGATAAGTACGGCGAATGGAAACAATTGGTAGCCTTGCCATCAAACATAACTGACGAGACAACACAATCGACGTGGATGCAAATTTCACATGCATTGAACATGTGCAAAAGCGACAACACTGGACAACTGCAAATGCCATAAGGTGAATGGTAAAATGCATCGGTGCTACAATCGCGATGGATCCGGTATGCTAAGGCGAGCAACGCTGCCCCAACAACGATCCCCACCTCAAATGCAGACCCGACACACTTTAACATGACACCTTACAACAAACACCGACGAGCACACGTAACATTTTACTGGTACAAACGACGACGACAACACATAACAATTATGAGAGTCTTGGGGAGCATGTTATTATGCATCGATGATGCAACAAAGATTGGTCTGGCACGCTAAGGCTATTGCCCCACCGGCGATCACAACCTGAGTTGCATACACGAGGCACTTCAGCACACGCCTTGAGACACACACAAACGATACAAACACCGTGACTGTACATACATATCTCACACAAGCTCACACACGCACATACACACTGACACTCACGCAAACAAGCACAGATACAAACAGATAGTCAACACACAACCATCGTGAAATTCAGCTATTAATAAATCACCACTAGCCAATCACCCCCCCTACACCCCTCCCTCCCTCCCTCCCTCATCTCCCTCCCATTGCCTCCCTCATCTCCCTTCTCCAAAAATAATCAAAGTATGCAGCTCATGCGCCCTGCACAAAGTAAAAACAGAGAATGCAACACATGCCCTGCACAAGAAAGCAAAAAAAGAGGATCTTCACACACCGTACAAGAAGGAATAAATAGAGAATGCAACTCATGTGTCCTACGAGGAGGCCAAGCAGGAAACAACTTACTCGCACTGCATAGGAAGCAAAAACAAAGAGTACACCTCATAGCATTGCACAAGAAAACAAAAACAGAGAATGCAGCTTACACACTAGAGACGAAATAGCACAATAGAAAACGATGAGCAATGGGTTTGACAGGAGCACTCATGCGCACTCTCACGCTCCTCTCACGCAGCCTCGCATGCGCTCTCTCACGCGCTCTCTCACACGCACTCTCGCGCGCTCTCTCACACGCTCTCTCTCTCTCTCTCTCTCTCTCTCTCTCTCTCTCTCTCTCTCTCTCTCTCTCTCTCTCTCTCTCTCTCTCTCTCTCTCTCTCTCTCTCTCTCTCTCTCTCTCTCTCTCTCTCTCTCTCTCTCTCTCTCTCTCTCTCTCTAATGGTCCTTGTATTGATATAGCAGTCAAGTACAAGCATGCAAGTCATAGCGGCCTAGGTAACACACATGCAGGTCACAAGCATCACAGAACTACAACTCCACAAGAGGCTCAAGCACCGCGAAACAGTCCCCTAGATGCAACTCATCCCCAATTCCTCCCACGGGCGGGTTCTCAACCGCCGCCGCCTCCCCAAGCTTAAGCAGAAGGCCCACAGATTGGGCCCTTTGCAGGGCCACAGACCAGCGTTGCCTGAACTGGTGGAGGAACTTTGCAGCATAGAACGATTTGGAGTCGGCGTTGAAGTGGCGCCGAGCTGCAGTGTCCGCCAAGAGCTTCAAGAAGACTGGTACCTCTGCACACGGGCAGCCGTAGGTGTCCACAGCGAGAGGGAAGAAGGTCACCGTCTCTGGCAGGGAGGCGTAGTGCTGGATTTTCTTGTCCGCTTGCTCCCGAGCCGCCCAGCCCCTGCCCTTCTGCGCCTCAGGGTCCCTGATGCTAATAGGGTCGGTGATGGTGACGTCGCATACATAGACGGCCCCACTGCTCCTGTCTGTCATTGTAAAGTCGGCTGTCTGTTCCTCAACGGGGCAGTGCGCTGAGGACTCGCTGTGAACGATGAAACCCGCGTCCTGGGCCATGCTGATGCAGGCATCGCGCAGCTCGTTGTGGGTGTTGATGCGATGCTTGCCCGTGCCGCAGCGGAGTAGGTGGTTCGGGAGGCGGGGGTCTGTGATGGCCGTGTGGTCCATACAGTCACAGTTCTTCGGCGTAGAGAAGGGAAGGGCCAGCCGAAAACGGACGGCATTGGAAAAGTGAGTGGGCCCTATCCTCCTGTTGGCCGCAATCGGGATAGCGGTCAGCCAATCCACGGTCCCGTACCCAAACAGTGAGTACATCCGCTGAGTATGCCCGCACAAGGGGTTCACCGCCATCTCCCGCGTCGCCTGCACTTGCACCGCGTATCTGCTCCCATGCACCCTTAGCGCCAACGCGTGCTGGAGCCTCGTGTCAGTTCGCTCCAGCCGTTCTTTCTCTAGGATTTCTCGCGCATCGTCAGGTAACGCCGCTTCACACTCCGACAGCCACGTGTGAAGGGGCGTGGCGGCGTCCGCGGGCAGCTGCATGTGGTCCCGCGCCTGCGCCAGCGCGCCCTCAGGGGCGCCGTCTAGTGATGCTATGAAAAGCGCCGCTTGCGTGAAGCTCGCGGCGTACCCGTAAACTCCCTCGACTAGCGGGTCGGTGATACCTATCCCTCCCAAGGACGGCGGCAGAGACGCCTGCGCCCAGACACGTGCTTGCTCAGTACGGCAGGTGGGGACGCGAATGTGGCAGGCTGTGAGCAGTGCCGCTAGCAGGTCTGTCCCCCACTGGCTCCAGGTGTCGCGAGGCAGAAGGGAAAGCGGTGTTGTTCTGGTGAGGTATGCCACGCGCCTCGAAATGCAGCGGGTGAGCAATAACGAGGCTACCTGTGGGTCGGCTTTCTCAAGCAGTGGCAGAGGTTTGGCCATCTCCTGCAGCTGACCCGACAGGAACTGCGACGCCCCACTATCAGGCCCCACGAAGCTTCCGAGCAAGCGAACTCCTTCCTGGGAAAAAGGTACTCCGTGCG